AAATGACTGAGTGCCACATTGGTTTCTTTCCGTGTGAACTTGGACATAGATCTGGACAGTTCTAGAATTTCTACTCTGAGAGGGACTTGAGAATTGGAAAAAATGCAGAGGGTAGGTGGAGTGGCAAGGAGTAGTCTTGAGGCTTGCCTTGTAGCCATTTTTGCTTAGTAAGGGACTTGTTCTGGTTAAAAACATGGATTTGGAGGACTTGGGGCTACTACTGATGGAGACTGTGCAGGGGCTACACCTCTCTGGTACCCTGTGGTGCTCACCATAGACGGGGCAATGTACGTCTCTATATCTGCTCCCTTCGTCAGGCACTGTGAAGACAGAGTGTCAGCAGCTGCAGCCCAGGCACTCCTGTGCCCTCACACGGAGGTGCCAGCCATTGCTGCTGCTGCTGGCAGTGATGGTGACGATGGTGTTAATGCCTAAGGTCCTGCTGTTACCGCAGACAATGTCACAGACATTGTGAGCTGGTACGTGTTACCATTCTGACTGTGCAAGGCAGGCAGTAGGAGGTCCCCACTTGAGAAGATACCCTCATGTGCTTCTCTGTTGCTTTGATAAAACACTGAATACACAAAACTTGTGGGAGAAAAAGGTTTATTTCACCCTTCAGGTTACAGTCTGTCATAGAGGTAAGTCAGGGCAGGAGCTCAAGGCAGGAACCTAGAGGCAGGCTGAAGCGGAGACCCCAGAGCAGCACTGCCTTCCTTCTGCAACCCTAGGCCCACCTGTCTGGGGTAGCACTGACCAGAGTGGGACAGAGCCTCCTCCATCAATCAGCTATCAAATGTACCCCAGACATGCCCAGGGGCCAATCTAATGGAGGCCATGCCCCTATCCCGTCCTGGTTGTCTCTAGTTTGTGTTGGGTTGACAAAAAATGATCAGGCACAGGAGGTCAGAAGATTGGGGGGGGGGGCACTGGCATTTTGAAAATGTCAAGGGGTCACACAAATGAAGACATAGTTTATCCTTAGCATATCCGCCACTAGGAGAAACCCCTAGGAAAACTCCTCTCAGAGAGAGGATTCAGTGCCTGAAGTGTGTTGTCTGTGGCCCTGTGGGCAGCTGGAGACACAGGCAGATTCAGTTCAGAAAGCGTCTGGGCCTTTGGAACTTTTGGAACTTTCTTCAGGCTGTTTCCTCTCCCCTTCTAATCCCAGCACCCCCACATTTTGTAAGATTAAGGACGCTCGTGTCCAATCTCCTCTTCAGCTCTCAGCCACCCTCTGGATGCCCCCTCACCTCGTGGTACCCTCTGCAGTCTTGAGGAAAGAATTATCCTATAATCTCTCCAGAGGAGAGGAAGTCACACTGTGTGTCGCGCAGCTTTCTGTAGCCACGATGACAGCACTGGGAGACTAGACTAATGGCAGGAATTACTCGTTTGGGCTCAGGGTTTCAGACTTCAGTCTGTGCTTGGCTGGTCCTGTTATTTTAGGGCTCAGATAAGGCAGAACACCATGGAGGCAGGAGCCTGGAGAGGAGGAGGCTGTTCACCTCACTGCAGACAGGAAGCAATCAGAGAGGACCTGAAGGCCGTGTGTACTTCAAAAGCCACCTTCCAGGGACTTCCCCTCACTAAGCCCCGCCTGCTGAAGTTCCTACCATTTCTCAGAGTAGTGTCACCAGCTGGGGGCCAAGCATTCAATGCCCAAGCCTGTGAGGGACATTAATGTTCAAACAGAAGTTGGCATACAAAACTTGGTTGTTTGTTTCCACTGCCTGCCCACGGATACTGGGGATGGAACTCAGCCTGTGTACACTAGACAAGTGCTCCACCACTGAGCAACAGCTCCGAGAGTTTTTAATAACATCAGAATTATATTGTCTGTGATTTGCTTTGGATTCATACGACAGACCTGGAACAGGGAGAAGGGGAAGAAAGCATGGATTTTCCTCGTGCAAGACCTGCCTTGTCCTTTGCTGTCTGAAGCCAGGAAGGGAGGCCCTGGGACTTGTGATCTAGGGTTTCAGAGCGAGGCTCACTTCACCACGTGTCAGCTGCTCCCATATCCCTCTTCAAACAAGGAGCGGGGATTTCCTGTGGGCAGCTGTGAAGTGTGTGAGCCCAACAGAGAACTATAGCACACACACACACACCCCCCTCCCACTTTCTCCCTCTCCCTCATACTCCAGATATGCCAGCTGTTTCTGATCACCCGCTACCCTGCTGGGCTGGATGACTCATTTGGGAAGAAGGTATCTGTGTGTGTCTTTGTGTTCCCCTGGCGGGGGTCATGTGTCCCTGAAAGAGAAGACTCTTGGCCAGCTCCCCTGAGATAACATCATGAGGGAAGCTTTAGGAAGCACGAAGAGCAGCGTTGACTCCGGTTAAAAACTGGCCCGTGTCCAAATGGTGAAGTCAGTCTTTATGTGTTTGCAAATCAGTTGCGGGAGCTTTGGACAGTGTGGGGCCTTTGGGGAGCAGAGTTCTGTGCACACAGTTGGCTAGGTCTGCGGCTGCCCTGCCTGGATGCACCATGAAGGGTGTTCGCTAAACCGGAAGAGGAAGCCCTGGGTGAGAAGAGACATTCTTCTGCCATAGGCTTGCAAAGCTTCTGTCTTGCAAGTTTCTGACTTGATCGCAGTGATGGGTGTAGTCCGCCCAGGCCTCTGTTGCTAAAAGGATCAGGGAGTGGGCCTGGCCTCCAGCTGCCAGGAAGGAGGCACTTCCCCCAGCTGGTAACCAAACTCCACTATAGCAGGTTTGGGACAGACTTTCCCCCAAGAGCCCTCAGCCCAGAAGAAATCAGGATGGGGCCAATAGAAATCAGACAGCGGGGAAATTAACAGCTGTCAGGAAAGGGCTGTGAAGCTTCAGAAGCACAGGAAACCCCCAAACTACAAACGGCTGCTGTGGTGCCCCCAACTCTTTCAGTGGCACACAAGACAGTGTGGTGACAAGCAGTGGGCCCATCAGGCAATGTGCCAAGAGTTGAAACTTGAAGCTAGAGGGTGTTAAATAAAGTCAAACTTAGGTAGGGAGAGATTGTCATTCAAAAGAAAGACTGTGGTCATGGGCAGAACAGTCCCAACTCAGGACTCTGCAAGCATCTCAGATTCAAAGAGAACGAGGGGGAGGGGCTCATCTTTCTGTGGCAGAGGAGAGACAAACAGAGCCTGGTAGAATCTGGGAGGGAAGCTGAACAAATCTTGAAATGCCTAGCCAAGCAGGGGAAAGTTCTGGTGGTCATCAGCCCATTCCCAGAAGCTGCTGAAGGTGGGCTGGGGGCGCTCAGCTCCGTGTGTGAGTGCTCTGGCCTGGGGGAAGCAGAGCTGGGGAGCCAGTAAGGAAAGAAAGACCCCTGAGCAAATGAAGCAGAGGGTCAGCCTTGGGCAACAGTGGACACCCAGTCAAAGACAAGACTGGACATGGTAAGGAAGTATCGGTATGGGTAGTTCTTAAAGCTAAGATTGTGGCTATTGTATTGATATAAAATGAACACATTTTAAAAGATTTTATTTGACAAATACAGATGGAGCAACCAGACACATCATGTTTTGTTTGTGCTTTTGTTTTTTTTAGACAGGGTCTCACTGTGGCCCTAGCTGGCCTGGAACTCACTATGCAGACCAGGCTGACCAGGAACTCAGAACTCACGGAGATCTGCCTGCTCCTGCGTCTCCAGCACTGGGATTTAAAGGTGTGTGCCTCCATGCTCAGCACCAGGCCTGTGTTGCCAGCGGGATGGTTTCTGCAGCTTCACAGCGCTTTCCCAGAAGCTGTTAACCCCCCCCCCCCCCCCCCCCCCCCCCGCCCCTGTCTGATTTCCACTGGCCTCACTCTGATTTCTTCTGGGCCCAGGATCCCAAAGAGAAGTGGAAGAAAGACACTGGACATGCTTCAGGCACCCGGGAGAACAGCGAGTCGACAGTGCAGACAGACAAACTGCCACAGGGAGAAAGACACTTTGATGTCTCCAGGGACAGGGTCGTTTGCATGTTACAAGATATTTCAAGTTGTTACAGTTACCTACAACTTCCATAGTTACAAACTATCTCAGAAACAATGCTGGACCAGGACCTCCTGGAGGGAGGTTCCTGAGTCCCGCATGGAGAGAGACAATTCAGACTGCATTGTCTTGCTCTTCTCTCGTAGAGCACTGCCCTAGACCCACTAATCCTGTAGGAGCATCCCCGGCTTCCAAGTAGAGGCCAGGACTCCCCTCCCAGTTGTGACAATACAAAGAATGTCTGCAGTTATTGTCAAAAGCCACTTGGGTCACATGGGTGGGTGGGGGTTGCCTCCAGTTGAGACCCTGCTTTAAACCTTTCATAGCACAGATACTAAGCCCTCCCAGTAGTCACTCCAGAAGCATGTTCTCTGTATGTGAGCGGCAACTCAGAAACTCTCCCTGGACAGAGTGATGGCAGCAGCCACCAACATGGGCTCCATTCTAAAAACTCTCCCAGAATTAACTCAATAAATCCTCCTGGGTAAATTTGAGTTTTAGATAGGCATCACAGAGTTATTCTAGGATAGGTTTGCTTTGGATGATATTTGAGGGCTATGTGTACTAAAAGCCACACTTTTCCCTTTACTTGAAATTCAGATTTAACTTGGATGACTGGTTTTTGCCAAATCGTACAACCCTACTTGTGCACAAATAACTGTCCGGTAACCGCAGAGGCCCTGGGGCCTTAGAATCCCTGCTGGGCCTGTGACTAGCTTTTAACTCATGGGGTTACATCATTGAGCTTCTATGGGACTCAGTTTCTCACCTGTGAGATGGGCACACCGGCAGCCACTTCTCACAGAACTGCAGTTGTTGGCTTCTGTATCCAGAGCTTGCAGAACTGTTAGGATCGTGGACCGGTGAGTGGCAACCGGGTTAGTTTCTGTGCTCACACTGCTACTGACTCATCCAATGTTTTCCTGGACAGTCATTGCTGAGTTTCGCCCAGCCTTCCCACCCCAATTAGCGAGTGTCCCCTGCCACCGGGTCGCGCCATCCCGGGAACCGTCCGAAGGTGGCAGCAGCGGCCCCGCAGTCCTCCACGGTCGGGCTGGCGCTGTGCAGGTCCCGGGCTGGTCGCGTCCGGAGCCAGGCGCCGAGCAGGCCGGGAGAGACGGAGGCCACACCCCGCGGCCCAGGCGCTTCCCGCCGGTGAATCATCGCCTGCAGCAGCGGCTCCCGCAGTCCGCTGCAGCGCCCCGGGCCCGGCCGCACCCCATCCGAGTGCAGCGCCCCGCGTCTCCGCGCCCCCTCTCCCTGTGCAGTGAGCCAGTCCGATTGGCACCATGGCGGGCATCGCAATCAAGCTGGCCAAGGACCGCGAGGCGGCCGAGGGGCTGGGGTCGCACGAGAGAGCCATCAAGTACCTCAACCAGGACTATGAGACGCTGCGGAACGAGTGCCTGGAGGCCGGGGCGCTCTTCCAGGATCCTTCTTTCCCCGCCCTGCCATCCTCTCTGGGCTTCAAGGAGCTGGGGCCCTACTCCAGCAAAACTCGGGGCATCGAATGGAAGCGGCCCACGGTAGGAAGCGCTCAGGGACCGGGCGGGGTCGGCAAGGGCTGCAGTGGAAGGTTGCGAGCCAACAGGCTCCGTGGCTCGGTAGTGCTGGCTCGGTTGTGCTCGGCGATTGCTGTTAAGGGGACTCCAGATGCAGGCTGCGGCCCACCCAGTGGACCTGCCTCCAGCTGGCTCGGAGCGCTTCGCAGGACAGGACCCCAGATCCCACTAGCGGGCACGCCCCGGGAGGCCGCCTTTGGCCTCACAAAGCCTCAGGGACACAGGGCCTCTGGGGTGAAACTTTTATTGGACTCTAGTGGTAAGATGGAGGGAGGGGACATGGACCTGCTGTCGGGGGTGGGTATCCGAGTAGGGTGGAAGACTCTGGACTGCTTCGGGGAGGCAAGGGTGGGCACAGCCTGGCGCTGGCTTACATAAGTGATCACAGGTACCTGTAATGGTTAGGTTTGTCCAGCTAGGACCTTGTTTATTTCTCAAAGTGTAGCTAGCGGACGCCCCTCAACCACCACCCCCAATATTTACCTGGGTAACTTAATAAAGAATTGAAAGGCTCCGAGGATCCTGTTACTCACTATTTTGGGGGCCTAGAGTCCTCTCCTGGGAAACCCTGTCCCACTCCCAAGTGCTCTTGTGCCAACTCTCAGGGTCTCTGCCCTTACGCCCTCCCAGTTCCCTTGTGGTGCTGGCCTCATCCTGTGGGACCCTCACTTGACTTTCCCAGGGAGCCTAGAGGAAATCTAGATTCCTGTTAGGACACTGGGCATTCATGCCTTACTTCCATCCTCCCAGGCTACTTTTGTTATCCTGAATCCAGTTCGAGATCTAGAAAGTACCCTAGACCATCTAGTACTCTACCAGCTCTGGGTTCTACCCCAAACATCACATAAAATCAGGTGCATGGTAACGCATGCCTATAATCCCAGTACTTAGGATGTGGAGACAAGAGAATCAGAAGTTCAAAGCTGGGGGCCACTGAGATGACTCAGTGAGTAAGGGCATTGGCTGCTAAGCTTAACAACCTTTGCTCTATCCCAGAACCCACGTATATAGAGGGAACCAACTCCCCAAAACTGTCCTCTGACCCCACATGCACACTGTGGCACACAAGTGGACTTGTGCAGGCATACATGCACACAAAATAAATAGATGCATAATAATGATAACAACAATAACAAAAGAAGGTCAAAGCCAGCCTTGGCTATGTAGTACGTTTGAGGCCCAGCCTGGCACATGAGAACTTGGCTGAAATTAAAAAATAAAGGAAAAGGAAAACCAAAAAGGTCTCTGTAGAGCAGGATCCTGAGCACCTGGGTGCACTGGGTGAGTCACTGGACCTCTGTTCCTCACCTCAGCTGGGCGTGGTAGTGCACACCTTGGTCTGAGCCCTCAGGACACTCTGTAGCTTTGACTGCTTAGTAAGTTCGAGGCCAGTCTGAACTACAAAGTAAGGCTGTCTCAAATTGAACGAATACGATAGGAATGGAGCAAGCGAGGCCTCCCTGTTTCCTGCCTTGTCCAGCACACCGGGTGGAGCTGCCCTGGTGACTCCAGTGTCCCAGAGACACCCAGGTCTTTTCTCTTACCCTTCTCACCTGCAGGGCATGCTCTGCCACCACCACCCAGAGTCTAGCTCATTTACATTCTTTAGGACTTTGTCACAAGTCTCCTCCCCAAAGAGTCGTTCCGGTCATTTGGTCATTCGTAGCAGGCCTCCCCCTGCCCTCTTGTTCTCTGCCCTGTACTAACGTCTGCGCTGGCATTTTCACAGTGAACCAATGCGCTCACATACGTTTTCTTGTTCTGCTGAGCTGGGGTGTGTTCTTTGCTTCGTGCTCTTAGTGTCTCGCCAGAGTACTGTCCCTTCTCAGGCTTCACTCATTCATTCATTCATTCATTTATTCATTCATTCATCAGCATTTATGAATGCTTATTCTAGGCCAGGCATTGAGACGTCCATGAACAATCACAACAAAACAAACAAACAAAAATAAAGTCACTGACTATTTGGAAAATAAATGAATGAATGGATGGATGGATAAATGAATGAATGAATGTGCAATCGTTGTGAGCCATGAATGACATCCTGGCTGGGGAGATGATTCACAAGCAGGAGAACGTGTGTCTTACACTTGTATACTGTTTTACAGCTTACTTTCTATCCCAGTCTCATTTCCATGGCTATGATAAAGGACTCTGGCCAAAAGCAAATGAAGGGATGAAAGGATTTATTTGGCTTACAATTCCAGGTTCCAGCGCATCAGTGAGGGGAAGTCAGAAAAGGAACTCAAGCAGCTAGTCACACGACAGCCACAGTCAAGAGCAAAGATGATCGAATGCCACACATTGCTCGCTTGAATCTAGCTTTTGTCTGCCTGTATAGGATGCCCTGCCTGGAGAATGGCGCCACCCACAATGGGCTAAGTCTTCCCACATCAATTAGCAATCAAGATCATTCCTCCTAGGCAGAACTGCAGGCCAACCAGATCTGGATAATTCTTTGAAACGACTTCTTTCTCTATCACTCTAGGCTGAGGCAAGTTGACATGTACCCACCTCCACCCTACCTCCCTGCCACCCCCCCCCCCCCACACACACACACACTCCTTTCAACCTTCTATTCAGTCAATGAGCACTTAGTGAACACCTATTATACTCCAGGTACATTATACTCAGTTTCTTTTCTGAAGTCCACAGAAGAGAGAAAGGCCCCCTCAACAGGTGTCTGTGCCTGTGGGCCTTCCAGGCAGAAAAAGAGAGACCTGGAGCCACTTCAGGGACACTGCCTAGGGCAGTCAGGCCATGCACCACACAACAATTCTACCGTTGGGGAAACTGAAGCTTGGGAATGTCAAACTTGCTCAGAACAAAGCAGGAGTGGAGCCAGGCCTGGGCTAGCTGCCTTCTGTCCTGACCTGTCTGGTCAGACCCTGATGGGGACCGGCCACGGGACTAAAAAAATGTACCCACTGGATTCACTAGTCCATGATTGGAGATTGGAACAGAGCAATGTCAATGGATGGTGTCGGGTAGGAACCAGGCAGGCTGCAGACCCTGGAGTAAGAGAGATGAAAGGGAGGTGTGTGTTTCTGCTTCACTCATTTCAGAAGGATGCCTGAATGACAGGAGGAGGCGAGGGAAGAAGAGAGGAAGGGAAGAGAGAGAGAGAGAGAGCACAAACACCTATGGCCTAATTTAAGAGACTCTTCAGCTGTGGGCAACTTGCGTTTGTTAGAGGTTGAGTCACGAGTGATGAAGGGATTAGAGATGACTTCCAGAGAAGGAATGAAACAACCCATGAGGAAGAGAAAGCAGGGCAGGGCAAGGGAGCTGGTTAGACATCCTGGGGGGCGGGGGCGGCTGATAACTTCCCGAGAGGACGTCATAACGCTGGCAAGAGGGATGAGATAGAACATGACCACAACCACACTGAGGGCAGGAGCCAGTGCCGGGCCACAGCGATGTGTGGCACGGCATCACCCACGGCTGGCACACCAGGTCCTCCCAGCTGTCAGTTACAGAGTGCTTGGCAAGGCCATTCGGTTCATCTCACCTAAGCCTGTGGACAGTCTTTGTGGGTGGTACCTTTGTCTTCTTCAAACCCATTTTACAGATGCAGAACAAGCTTCCGGGTGTCCAGTAACCCACTGGCATCCTAGGACTTACACAATAAATGGCAGTGCCAGGCTTCTCACTGGCTTATCAGAATCCAAGGCCCTCCCTTCTTCTGGCGCTGCATGGCTACATCAGGGTTTCATCCCAGGCTCCACAGGCTGTGGGCAGGGCTCAGTTTTCTCAAGTGTCTCTGGGCTGTGAGGTCTGAGCTTCGGCTTCTCCGGAGACCCTGGGGCAGTTTCTGAAGTGTAATGGTAGCCCCCTCCTGAGGTGAGAGCTTGGCCCCTGGATGGTCAGAGTGATTAAGGGGCTCCTGGAACTGAGCCCAGTCTGCACCACCCCCGGGATAAGTGCTTGCCTGGCAGACCTTAGGAAAAGTTGGCTTCCCTGCTTGGGCAGAAGTGCTTTCTCACTGTCCCTTCATCCTCCAGGCCGACTGATGGGGAAGCAGGAAGGGAGCATGCTCTGTGAGCTGGTGTGCTGCTGGAGGCTGCCAGGATGGCCTGAGACTAGACCCAGCACTCACCCAGGGAAGATTCCTATAGATAGAAGTGTGCCAAGGGACAAGGCTACTCTGAGCAGATGTGGCACTCCTACAAACCAGCGACTCTGAGTCAAAAGCAGCTCAGATTTGGGCCCTGACTTCCTTTGTGGCTTTTGGGTGGAGCTCTTCAGAATCCGGAAACACATCCAGGGGACTGCTGGAGGGCTGAACCCTTCCACACTGGCTTCCCTCAGGCTGTTGTAAACAGCAGGAGCACACAGTTTGCACTTGAGACCATGAGTTCAAATCCCAGGGGCCTCTACCCCTGGGGAGCCATGAAGCTATAACAATCACTTTACTTCCTGAGCTGCTCCCCACATGTAAGAGGCTGCTGACACCACCCTGAGTTCCTCAAAAGACAACAAGAGATGATAAGGCTCCACTCAGTGTCTGAACAGCAGGTGCAGAGTGCGTGAATTCTCCAAGTGCTGGGAGAACTCAGAAGGGCTGGATCCAGTCCCCTGTCCCCAAAAATCATGTGTATTAGAAAGATGGAGGAGTAGCCATGAACACCACCACACCACACAGGTTTAGATTCCCAAAGACTCTGGGACGGGACTCCAAGGGAAGAGTGGAGATAAAGGGGAGGAAAGGCTTCATCCTGGAAGAGAGGGAGAAGGGGGCTTGAAATATGAACGATTTGGAACATGTAGGCAGAGGAGGAATGCCATGCAAGGTTAACCACTTGCATGCAGGCCCAGAGGAGAGGGTGCCAGAATGGTGGGCAGGGGGCACTTAGCACGGAGGGTCCCCAAGCCTGGCAGAGGGAGTTGGGTGTACTCCCTGCCCTTGGTGAAGAGCATGATGGAGCAGACTGCAGATAATTGGAGTGTGTGGGGTCGATGACTTCCTGGAAGGGATCCGTCCCCACCCCCCAATTAGGGCCAATGGAGCAGGATCAGACAGCTAGCACAGAGGTCTGACTAGGAAACTTTCCTCAGAGCTGAGCAGCTTGAGGAGGGGGGACTGGAGTCACCCACAGGGAACGGAGGCTCCTGCCTGCTGACCTTGCTCTGTGGGTTTGTTTCCAGGAGATCTGCTCTGACCCCCAGTTCATTGTTGGAGGAGCCACCCGCACAGACATCTGCCAAGGAGCCTTAGGTAAGTAGTGGGGGTCTGGGGCAAGCTGTGCTGTGTGCACCTGCAGGTTCTGTGGCTTCTCTTCTGGAACTGTGAGGTGACTTCCATTTCCAGAAGCTCCTTGGACTTCTTGTCTCTTGGGGATGTCCCCCAGCCAGTCACAATGCTAAGATGGGAGTTCTGTGAGGTCCAGGACAGGTCCCCAAAGAAGGCAGTGACTCAGTATGAAGGAAGGGGAAACCTCTCTCGCTGCTGAGAGGAAGTGGAAAGTACCAGCCAGGGCCAGCTCAGCCTTGCAGGCAGCTCCCTGTGGGCTCACCAGAGAAAGCAGCAAGGATTGTGAACACTCCTGTAACTGTAATGCTCATGTAATTCAAACTGACCCAAGCATCAACCAAGATTGGGAGGGCCACGTCTGAGGATTTGGGCTCCAGGGCCCCCAGCTTCATCCTGAAACTTCCCAGGCTTCTGTGAAGTCTCAGCAGTGAGAATGCACCCTCATTCTTTCCTGTACATAATAAACATGGGCCAATAATCACTGGAGGAGATTATTTGCTCTGATAAACAGGAAACAGGCTATCCACCTCAACTGGCTTCCCAAACAAGCCCACTGTATCAAAACTAACCAGCTAGAATTCACCACCTTCCAGTGCCCGCTTCATAGGGGTTCTGGATCTCTTAATGATGGCAGCCACTGTTTACTAAGTCCGTCACTAAACCATGCTTGCCCACACTTCATGATATCCCCGATCACTCTCATTTTATAGATGAACATTCCAGAGAAGAGGCCTCGTGTACAGACACATTTGGTCTGACCCCAGCACTAGTATGTTAAGTACCAAGGTGGCCTCCCTAGAAAGAGACCTACAAAAATGTCACCCTGTGGGGGATGTCATAGCCTGTGTAAATCCTCAGGACAGGGCAACCTCTAGGGAGAACAGGGTCCAGACCTGTTGGAACACAACTATGCTGAGTGTGGATTCCTAAAATGCCAAGGAGTTTTCTCACCTGCAGAAAACAGGCCTGCCCTCTCTCCCCATGAAAGAGATGACCAATATCCTAGGGTACCTGAGGTGAGTGTTTTGTGGGTACAAGCCACTGGTTAGAGAAAGTGGAGATCATAAGGGTTGGACATGGATTAAGATTATGACCAACCTGGGAGTTTTTGAAGGATCTAGAAAAATATAGCAGCTTCTGAATACTACTCACAGCCTAAACAGCTACTTCAAAAGTTTTAACACATCCTAAGGGCCAAGCTACTCATAATAAGTACCCAAGTTAAGTCACATTTCAATTGGGAGGGGCCATAAGGTTAAACTCCTGGAAGAAATTGCTTGCTATATGTCCAGAACTGGATGAAAAAGAGAAATATAAACCTTCCTAAACTTTCTTGGTAGTTGATCTAAAGTTTAAGGTATCTGAAGGTCCCAGATTAGCCATTTTATTTTCTCTTTATTTTTTTATTCTGGAAGATTCTAATGAGGTTGTGGGTGGTGAAATGTGGTCTACTGAACTCTCGCCCTTCCTTTGGCTTCTGGGCATGAGGTCCTGAAGGGGTGGTAACATCCCTAAGTCCCAAAAGGCTCAGAAATGACAGAACAGGGCTGTGGCAGAGACACGGGCTTCAGTAATGTCAGTAGTCAGGGGAACTTGGCCCAGGCATCACTGGGGACCCCAGTTTTCCCAAACTGCAGAGGGAAGGGAGGTAAATAAGATGACACCAGAACCCACTGATAAGTGAGTCCAGCCTCTAAAGCTATTCTTGCTGTGGGCTGGAACAATGGTAGAACACATGACCCGTATGCATGAATAAGGTCCTAGGTTCAGTTCCAGTGGCAGCAACCAATCAATAAAATCAAGTCATTCCCTGTTCATAGCTAGCTGTTCCCCATTCCTTGGTCTGGTATGTGAGCAATAAGTATCATCACCTGAGAAACAGTGTGTGACTCAGCATTGGTTTTTGTTATTGTTGTTTTTTCTTAATTATATGCAACCATCCCAATTCTCAACTAGATATGCTTTTTTAAGATTTATTTATTTATTTTATGTATGTAAGTGCTCTATCTGCATGTATGACTTTATGCCGGAAGAGGGCATCAGATCCCACTACAGATGGTTGTGAGCCACCATGTGGTTGCTGGGAATCAAACTCGGGACCTCTGGAAGAACAACCAGAACTCTTAACCACTGAGCCCACGTAGATGTTTTGATGCCCGCTATGCAGATATGAAAACTGAAGCACAGAGAGAGGAGGTGCCATATAAGGCTGTGCCCTAATCATTGCCTGAGCCCTGGTCTGACGCCAGGTCCTGCACTCATTTTATAACCCCACACAGGGTCTGAATCCATGGTGCTAAGCTGAGCAAGGATGCTTCATTTTCTCCACTTGGGCCTCCTACCCTAAATGCATTCACTGGCCCAGTGAGCCTGCGTAAATGGCATCCTTAGACTTGTACATGTCCCAGCGTCAGTCCACACCCTTTACTGTGTTGCCCTGAGCTGCTCACTCACCTGCTTTCCTGGAAGGCTCAGCTCCCAGCCTTCCCTCAAATGGTTCAAACTGTGTGTGTGTGTGTGTGTGTGTGTGTGTGTGTGTGTGTGTGTGTGTGTGTGTGTGCAGGGGTGCTCCCACCATGAACCACCTGCACTTCAGAACGTGGCTGAGCCAGGCATGGACTCAGCAAAGAAAAATCTACCCTTCCTCAAGGAAGGTTGGAAATGAAAGACTGAACCTCAGCCAGGCTGGCCCAGAGAGAGGCCAGACGCTGTGCAGCTGCTGGTGGTGACTGAGCCTGTGCCCATCAGGCCTCTGGCATCCAGCGGGGAGTGTCAGGTTCTCCCTGCTGTCACAGCTGTTCAAACTGCAGACCTGTGCTCTCTGGGCCCTTGAAGTGAGTCACTTTGCCTCCACCTTCATTTGGCTCCCAGAAGACCCACCAGGAGGTGTCTGGCCACAGGGTGCCCTTCTCTACAGCCTCCTAGTGTTTCCCTCATCAGAGAGGCAGAAGGGAGCGAGCTCGGCGGGAAACATGCCCCTGAAGGTGGAGTTTCTGGTCTTATGCCCTCCATCATGTAGTAGCCTTTATGATCTTGGGCAGGCTACCCAACTTCTGAGAGCTTCAGTTTCCCATTCTGTAATAATGGGAATGCAAAGAGCCCCCACCTTAACAACGGTTCAGTTTAGCCTTCTTCGACAGTGTGAAGAGCACACACAGTCAGCAGAAATCACACTTTGGATTTTGTTCTTTTCCTGGCTAGTAACATGCATCCCAGAACTCAGCCACAAATACTGGGGGGTGATAGTGAGCTACAGGTCGGTTTAATCATGAAGGGAAGTATACAGTGTTCTGGGGGCATTCAGTTGCATTCATTAAATTACATGAGATTCTCAACATTTTGTAATAAAGTGATCTTGTGTTGGGGGACTTTGCCCACCTGTAGGTAATGTAAGTGGTCTGGAGACATTGAAGGGAAACTAGGCTTTGTATTAATTACACACAGACAGACAGACAGACAGACAGACACACACACACACACACACACACACACACACACACACACACACACACCTGCAATGGATTTGTTGGAATGTGAGTCATGGTAGATGTCTTACTTTCCTATTGCTATGGTAAAACAACCTTATAAAAGCAACTTAAGGGTGAAAGCATTTATTTTAGCTCACAGTTCAGGAATACAGTCCATGGTAGGGAGCCAGAGTGGCTGGAGCTGTGGGCCATGGTCACACCATGTCCACAATCAGGAACAGACAGCAATAAATGCAACTGCTGTCCAGCTCCATTTACCTACTTACAGAGCTCAGGGAATGGTGCCACCCAGAGTGGATGGGTCTTCCCACCTCAATTAATGTAATCAAGATGATCCTCCACAGTTATGCCCAGAGGCCCATCTTCCAAATGATCCTAAAGTCTGTCAAGTTGACAGTTGACTCTAACCATTCCAGTAGGTCAAAGAACATCTATCATGAAAATATCCCCTTCCCAGGGCTGGAGAAGTGAGCATAATGTAGGAGCCAGAGTGAGCACACTGGAGAATCTAAAGAAGTTGAAGGGGTGTAGATGATAACGGAGCCCAACGATGTGAAAGGCTTTTGCCAAATTGCAAAGGGAGAAGGGAAGAAGTAAGTTAGATTAGAAGCTGAGTCTTTGCCCTTTGAAGAGCTCGGAGTCCAAGGGTGCATGTGCCGAGGTGGGAAGGGCATGTCCAAGTCTGGAGCACTCAGAAGATGAAAATGGGGGAGCAGGAAGCATAACGGGCAGGTGTTCGCTCTTCAGCTTTGTGAGTGGAACTTTCCAATAGTTTAGAGAACTAAAAATGAAAGATTTTAAGTCAGAAAGTAAATCATTAAAGAAAATATCTCTACTTCAGCCCAGAATTGCCTGGAACTCACAATGTAGCTCAGGCAGGCCACTGACTGGAGACCTACGTGCTGGGTTCCGGTCTCCACTCAGTACACTGTATAAAGAGAGGAGGGCGGATGAGCTCACCCCACCAAAGTAGCCAAAACCCATTTCCTAGTTATTGTCTTTTTAAAAAATTGCACATGTCATTGTTGTTGTTGTTGTTGTTATTGTTGTTGTGGTGTGTTTGAGATAGTGTCTTGCTGTATAACCCAGACTGGCCTTAAACTTGCAGTGATCCTCCTGCCTCAGCCTCCTAAGTGCTGAGATTACAGATGTGCCCCACCATGCCCAGTTTTATACTCCAGATGCTATGATTATAGGTTGTACCAGCATGCCTAGATTTCTTACTTATTTGTTTTAAATGGTTTTTCTATGTATCCCAGACATAAAATTAATATTTATCCAATCCTCAAACTCACAACCCTCTTACCTCAGCCTTCTGAGTGTTGAGATTACAGGAGAGCCACCATGACTGGCTGAAAATGTTAAATTTTTCATTTTTTTCACTTTTATATGTATGTGTTTCTGCCTCTGTGCGTGTATGTGTGTGTGTGTGTGTGTGTGTGTGTGTGTGTGTGTGTGTGTGCGTGTGTGTGTGTG